CTATGGGAAAGGAGGGCTTGAATCTTAGTTTGAGATTCAAGAGAGCTTAGAGTCTTGAAGAATCTTGAAACTCTAGCGTCAGACTATTGTCCGATCGCTATAGTCGGACCAAATTCTGAACATCGCCATCAAACCACCATCATTTGATCATCGTTGTTGAACTATCACTTGGCAACTATTGTCGGACCATCTCTTAATCACCATTGCCCTATTATCATTCCTAACCACCATCGCCCAACTATCAACTCTTAACTACTGTCACCTGAACACGATCCTTTAACCACCATCGCACCATTATGATCCTCCGATCATCATCACATGACTATGATCCTCCGATCACTGTTGCTTGAATACGGTTATCTGAGCATTGCCACCTTACTATGGCTCTCTAACCGTTGTCGCACAACTGTGGTCCTTCAACCATCATTGCCCAACTATGGTCTTCTAACCTCCATTGTCAACGATAATTCCCTAACTACTATTGCCCTGACTACAGCCTTTTGATCACCATTACTCGACTATAGTCCTCTGACCATCATCTTTTGGCTATAATCTTCCAACTGCCGTTGCCTGACCAATGTTTAAAATTGCGTATTCGGGTATTGAGGCGTTTTTCGTTTGTGAGACAGGCGTAAGCCTTAAGGCGTTTTGAGGCATAAGTCTCAAAATAAAAAAATTGCGTAAACATAAAATGATAAATTGTATATATAATAATGAGTAAATAATATATAAAACATAAAAATGCTACTTACCACATCTTTGAGGATAAATAAGGGAGACATCACATAAGAACTCACTAGTCATCAGCACTGTCATCACTTATCACTAAGGGGGTCTTCATTTGAATCATCCTTATGATGAACTGCTCTCTCCTCTCCCTCCTCTCCTATAGAGTCCAATATCTCTCAATCAGCTCTTTCTTCCTCATTATCAGTTATCTTCCTCTTCCCTAAATATTTTTGAACAATATTATAATGAATAATAGTGTAATACATTAATAAAAGTCTAAGAAAAGAAAATTATATTATTTATATACCTTTTTTGATTTTGTTCCTGAGTTGTGGTGGATGTTGATGCTTTAAGACCATCAAAGAAATCAACATTTAAATCTTCATCTTGTAATTCAGACGGCTTAATTTCCAATGATGTAATTGAAGTATGTGATAAGGAAAGCCAGGATATTTCTTCTCCTTTATTTGGCAGACCAGTAAGAAGGGCCACTTCATCAGTAGTGAAAGGAATGGGTTACCTTTTAGAACAAAGCATTGCTTTGAAATGTTTCACCTTGAGATCAGCTCATAAATAAGAGGGAAATTTTGCTCAAACCCAGGAAATTCCAAAAACTGTATGATCTTTAGACGTTTCAATGTGTCCACGACTTCAGGAGTAATTTGCTGAGCAAAGTTATGACAGATTGTTCGAAACGTAGAAACATAGTTTCGATAGGTAATTGGACGAACATATATCTGAAAATTTTAAAAAATAAAAACATAAAAAATAAGTAACTGAGATACGCAAAAAAAAAAAAAAAAACGCACAGCATACGCGCAATATAAGCATTGAGTACACACAAAATACGCATTGAGTACACACAACATATGCATAGATTACTCGATGCTTAAAATTTAGTTAGGGTTTATATTTCAAATTTCAACATAAATTCATAAACCCTAAATACAGAGAAAATACGATGGCATCAAAGTATCAAACATTTAAAAAGTTTCGAGAAGCAATGCATACGCATAGAGTAAGCATAAAATACGAAGAACTTCAAAACCTTGAACACCAACGCATAGCATAACCATAAAATACGCAGTACGGAACAGAAAACATGGCATTAAGTTACCTTTTTCTTTGGGGGTGATAACATCTTAGAAGAAACTGAGTGAAGAATACTTGAAATTGCTCCGGAGTGAATGCTAAATATTTGTTGGAACTTGAAAACCGAAACGTCGCCTCTGCCATTCGACCTTTACCAGGGTTTAAATGTTGATGCCACGTCGACATCTCACTAGGCGCGTCACGTCTACAACTGGCGAACCGAACTGGAAAAAAAACTTTAGGTTAATTTTTTTAGAGGCGACACCTTAAATATGTTAGGCGATGAGTGCCTTATGGCGCGCCTTAGTAAACTTGAGGCGTAAGCCTCATAAACTGAACTTATTGCGTGGGCTTTGAGGCTTAAAGGGACCATATTGCGCTGAGGCGCGCCTCAAGGCGCACCTTTTATTGCGCAATTTTAAACCATGTGCCTGACCACGAACCTCTAAGCTCTGTCACCCGACTACAATCGTTTAACTATAGTTGACCGCATACGAACTTTGATCTTTTGTTGCCTGACTATGGCCCTTCAACCATTGTTGCATGGCTACCATCGAAGCACGCCATCAACACTAACTTTGACTCTCAATGTTAGCATAAATATTTATGCTGTATATTTTGGTCTCTGTCTCCCTTCCTCAAGGGGTAAAGACCAAAACAAATAGCAAACAATATCTTCCATGGTAAAGGGCCCTTTTAACTTCTTCCATGAAATATATTTTGTACGTTATGTCTACTATATTTTATTAACAACTTCTCTAATAATAGGAAATGACATCATTTGTAATTGATGAAAAATATTTGTAGAATCATTTCAATTGGGTTAGATCCCATCTATGTTGCACCGATACGGATACGGCGACACGGATACGACACGATACGGATACGGGACACGTCAATTCTTAAAAATACATGATACGGGTACGGCGCGGACACGACATCATAATTTATAAATCATACATAAAAATTAAGAAAGCAATCAAAGCATAATATTTGAAATTACAAAAAAAATGACAACAATATCATTTGTAGCCTTGTAGCTTATAATATCAAAATATAAGTAAGCATTAAATGTCTAGTACAACAACAAAAGCATAAACATAAATTGTCTAGCACATAAAGTTTCAAATATTCAATAGAAGGAATGATATGATTAGCTTCTTCAGTGGTTTGTCTTTGAACTTCTATATCATCTTCAATAAATATCATAGCTTTTAATTCAGGCTCATCAAGTGAAAGATCAGTAATTTCTAATATTCTCATATCATCAAGAGACTCAATTCCATCTTGGAAATGAGAGCTTTGCTCGCTACCGCGGAAGTAAATACGACGTTTGTTTTTCAACGGACACGTGTATTGGATACACGTGTCCTTTTGAAATTAAATAGTATTTTAATTGGATACATCTTTGGCGTATCCGACATGTATCGGTGGAGTATCGGAGGCGTATCCGTGTATCGGTGTATCGGATACAGCACGCCTTCATAAATAGGTGTATCGGTGCAACATAGGATCCCATGTTTTTTCCCTATCACGGATTTTTCGTGTAAAATTTCTAGTTTCTCTTACAACAAATCATTTATCTTTATATGTGTACTGAATTTTTGTACCTAAGTAAGACGTTAAACTCTCTTTCTGTCACCATGATGTTGTGGCATGCAACAAGTATTGTGCTTCATCTTTGCGGGAACATTTCATGCAAAAATGGTTTGCGACGAGTTAAAGTGTAAATGACACACTAATTCAAAGATCTAAATATTTGGGTATTATTGTGACCAAATGAATGTATATTTGTGGGGAAAGAAGCCACTAACGAACTCTTTGATGGAAATTGCCGCCGTCGGTGTTAGTTTGTTGATATTTGGCGATACAAAATAACAACAACAACATCAAGCCTTTATCCCACTATGTGGGGTCAGCTACATGAATTCTTTTTCTCCATTGTGTCCTATTAACAGTTAAATTCTCATTTAAATCTAATAAAGAAAGGTCATTTCTAATATTTTCTAACCAAGCCTTTTTAGGTCTACCTCTACTTCTCTTAGCATAAGTCAAATCTAATATCTACTTTCCTAACCGGGTCATCGGAAGGCCGCCGTTTTATATGACCAAACCATCTAAAGCGACTCTCTCTAATCTTATCTTCCACTGGAGCTACTCCAATCTTTTGGAAATGGACAACATTTATTCCATGGTTGCTATCCGTAAGCCCTTCCTCATGAAACTGTACACCTGATTAAGGAAGAGAACCGGTCAGGGAAGTCCAATTTTTAACTTGTAGGGCCGTGGGATTCAATTTGCTTGATTAAACATTATTGAACTGTCAGACACAACAAAGATTGTGTTGAGGTTGATTGATCCAATTTGGAGCCATCTGGGCACAAAATCAAGCAAATTGAGATGTATTGGACTTTGGTTCAGTCTTTTGAGGCTCCTTGATTTTTGTGTACTGTTAGAATTTATGCTTGACCAAGTATGAATCTATATTATTCAAACAAACGTATTTGATTTTCTCCCTTAATGCATTCTTTTGACGTTTGGGTTCAGTGGTTGACTAAATCGATTTTGTGTATTATATTTTGGTTTAGTCTTTCATCTATTTAAACTATGCTTCTAGTTTATCCAAAATAATCACAAGTATTTAAATGTAACCTCCCCTTCTTGACAATTAGTATAATTAGTAAATTCAATTGCATCCAGTGTTTTGGTATTCCAAATTGATGCAGGGTGAGAGAGCTTTAGTTGAGATAGTTTATGAATCCTTCAATAAATATAAAGGCTTATTAGCCTCACGCAATCAGTTTTTTGAGATCACATAATAAAAGCTTCACGATTCCAGAATTTGTGAAAAACCTTTTATTTGTTCCATCCAATAAAATAAAGAAACAAAATTTCAAAATTTGTATTAAAGCGAAGCCTCGAACCTTGATCAATCTGCATCGTAGTATAACCCAATGTTGATCCATAATACAGAAGTGGAATAGTAACATGAGATATACAACTAACCTAATGCAAATGACTGTAAGATACTCCTCAATTTACTCACTATGTGTTATTAATAGTTGGTTGACAAAAATTTACACAGAAAAGTTACATAATTCATCACAATCCCGTACGACTGTCTCATTGTCTTATGGATTAGCCTTTGTAGTATATGAACGTGTTTTCCTAATGCGCAGGTACAACAGTTGCTGGTAAACCTGCCTGAACCGGCACAAAATAGTCCACAACAAGATCAGGTTAAAGTGACAGTTCTCTTGCCTATACTCTACCTATATGATTTCTGTTTGATAAAGTGTTTTTGCAATGACTTGTATTTATCCGCTTTGGCGCAGAACTTGGATGCTAAGATACGGCAGTGGTCAAGAGGGAAAGAAGGAAATATTAGATCACTGCTCTCAACCTTACAACTAGTAAGCCTACCTTTGTTATCAACAACTAAAATGATTTCTCCTTTTGTTGTAACAGTTGTACAATACATCTCACTCTTTATAGCTGTGCATAACAAATGAACTTGTTTATGGGAAGTTTCTTGTGCAGCAAATTCAAAGCCTGAGTCTAATAATTTCAAAAATCAGAAATTTCTCCTTCTGTCAAATGTCGAATGCAATAACACTTATGATGGTGTTCACTTTTTTGTTTGCAATTTCTGTTAACCATTGGTGTCACTGGCCTTTTTGTCATGCATATATTTTGAACTGCTAAATTGATAAAATTATTTAGTGAAGGTTAGAAGTAATGGAGAGAAACAATGGTTGCATTGTCAGAAAATATATGAATTATCTTTTGCTTGATTTGTTGACTTGTTTAACAAGAAAAAAAAAAGAAAAGAAAAGCTCACCTACCTGTTTGTGATCCATCCATGTCCACGCTGTGAGAACATCCATGACTAAAACAAAAAAATATGGGCTTAAAATTGATCCCTGATGTAATCCAACTGAAATAGGAAAAGACATGGTCAAACCACCTTATGTTTAAACACAAGTAACAGCTCCTGCATACATATCCTTAATGACTTGAATATAAGCATTATTAACCACTTTCTTATGTAGAACTCTCCATATAACTTCTCTTGGAACTTTAACATATGCTTTCTCTAAATCAATAAAAATCATATGTAGATCCTCCTTATTCTCTCTATACTTCTCCATCAAACCTCTCAATAAATGTATAGCTTCCATAGCAGACATACATAGCATGAATCCATAGCAAACCTAGAACCAAGTAATAAAGTCGCAAATTATTGGTGAAATCTCTATCTTCAATCTAACTATTTCATGAAAATTTGACTCGTAACCACTTAAAATCTCCCCGTGAGAGGTAAGGGTGCGAAGTTTTGTAACCCACATGGTTATGGTTATGTTGCTTAGATTTGTTTGAAAAGAGCTCACAAGTCTGGATAGTGTTATGAATTTATTAATAAAGTAGCCATCTTTGCTCTGCGAGAATTGCTTCGTTGCATATCGGAGCATAATTTCCGCGATACCATGAAATTTATGTTGATTTATCGTGAATCATTGTAGAACCCACATAAGCCATAGGCAGTTAGCTTAGTGCGTTTACTGTTTCCTTGTTCTTCTGCCAATTCTATTCTTTGGCTTTCCAATCGATGATGTTAAAGGCTTAATTTTAGTGCTTCACTATTACATTTAGGCGATACTTTCATGATTTAAATTGTTAGTGATGTGACTGAATTTCTCATGTTCTTTTTTGCGTAAGTTGTTGACAGTTTAAAAATTTTCATTAAAAGTGTTGGAGGAACTGGGATTGCTACGAACAAATTTTGGCTTCGTTTGGGACGGCTTTCTTTCTGCTTCTTAAAACTGCTTTCTAGTTCAACAACAACATCAAGCCTTAAAACTGCTTTCTAGTTCAAAATTCAAAATTTTGAACTAGAAAGCTGCTTTAAGAAGCAGGAAGAAAGCCGTCCCAAACGAAGCCTTAGTTTGCAATCTCAAGGCAAGGCGGCATGTCAAGCATCACACGAAGCTTTCTAGTTCACCACCCCGCTGCACTGCACCTTATTTGCATCTAATAAGATACATAAACTTCCTCGTGTCCTTTTCCAATGGGCTAATGCATATAAGTTGCGTGAATACAAGTTGAAAGTCAGGTAACCTACATACATTCACCTGAATATGGCTGGAAAAGCTTGTCATATGTACCTGCAACACAGGCCTGTTGCCTACGTTAGTCCCCACCTTCCCTTATTTATTCTCTTCAAGGGTTTTAGTCCTATGGTTTTTCTCTTTTTTAGGAGTTTTCATGTAAAAATTATGGTATCTCCTGTGATTGATACACCACCTTTTCTATTTGTTTGTGTACTGGATTTTTGTGTGATGCTTAGACGCTAAACTTTATATCTCTCTACCGCCGCAAATATTCCAAGACGCAACAATAATAACTATATTTTCCCTGATCTGTCGAGATAACTATTGGCAGTGCTCCCATTCATACAGAAGAAGTATTAGGCTAATCAAATCTTGACAATCATTAATTTCGAGAGTTCCCAGACAAAGTTTGAATAAAATTCAATTCGTACCCCCTTCAAGAACTATCCTAGCCTGAAGGAGTAAAGCAACACACCTTAATAAAGCTATGATGCTCTGCAAAATGAAGAAATCCTTAAATGGTCTAGCATGGTTTTTTCCCAATGGAGTTTCACTCTATCTTTGTCATACCAAAATAGGTTCAACAACTCAAGGTAGAGCTCCCTCTGTACCAGCACTATAAGTACATAAAAGCTCTAAAACCTCCATATATTTGCAGTGCAACAGCACCTATACACCTGAAATTGGCCAATTATTTATGTTTTTTTTCTTATTTTTTGTTCTTTAGATTCTTTGGCCAGAGAGTGGATGGAAACAGGTTCCACTGGTTAATATAATAGAAGGACCATCAGTGAAGAAAGCATACCAAAGGGCGTTGCTGTGCCTTCACCCAGATAAACTTCAGCAAAAGGGCGCTTCATCCAACCAAAAGTATATAGCAGAAAAGGTTTTTGACATTTTGCAGGTACTTTGCCATCTCATAATTACCCTCTGCCATATATATAATTTGTTCTTAACATCCAAGAAGGATCATTTTAATGGAAATGCTCTTCTGTTCTTGTGGGTCGCTACAATTAAAACTAGCAACAACATCAAATCCCTTCGTCATTTTATGTTGAATGTTTAATGATGCATGTAGTATGTGATCTGAGCTAGCACTAGACTTGTCTTTTTATTCATCCTATGTATCTATTTGAGGATCAAAAACTAGAGTAACCCACCGATGATTAGCTTGATTGGTGGGCGAGTAACCCGTGCTCGATTCCCCTCCAGCGGCAATGTCTCTTAAGTGGGGTCCAATCAAGTGCGGGCTAGGAGGTTTTTGGGTGGGTGTCTTTTCTAAGTCAACCGAGAATTAGTTACGCCGCCAAACGCTCTTTCGGATGTGGCAATGGATGGATACCCCGTTCCAAAAAAAAAAAAACACTAGATTGAAGTAGAAAATTGCGGGCTTCAGTAAAACATCGAAGTTCTCTGAATCCGAGACAATTGAATTACTTAAACCCATTAAAGTTTTGTTTGGAGCAACTTTTTTACTGCTTTCAAAAACAGTTTTTGTAAAAATTTTGTACTAAAAAATTGCTTTGGAAAGCAGGAAAAAGTTGTCCCAAACAAAACCTAAATATATTTTTTTATTCTGAGTATTTTCTTTTCTTCTGAGCCATTTATTTGCTTTATCACAGGAAGCGTGGGATCACTTCAATTCAATCAGCGAGTTTTAAGGCCATGGAGATCAATCTGATTTATCAAATTGGATTTGTGTGTTTTTATGTGATATAAAATGATTATCGCAAGCTGCTTCGATTGTATGAAAAATAAAATAAAAATTTTGCGTGTATCATATGATTTCATGCTTTGATTGTATAAATTAGAGCTCTTATTTTTCAAATATAAATATAAGATGATAATCTCTTTTTAAAAAGAACATAATAATAATAATAATAATAAAATTAATTAATTTTTATCTCATTATGTGCAATTGGCTATATGAATTTGAAGATTGACTAGGAATAATTTTCTTTTTTGTGTGATAAATTTAGGCTTAATTTTCGATAATTTTTTTATTGTTTAAAATTTTGATAAAAATTTTCTAATTCAAAAAAACTTTTTGTACTAAAAAAATATTTTAGAAAACATTAATAAAAATTCTGAACTTTCAAGCAAAGCATTTAAAGCGAGTAGAGAGTATGGCCAAAGTCTTCAGTTTTTTGAAAGAATGGCGTGTGGAATAATGTTACGGCTTGCTTTAAATGTAATCTTTGCTGCACACTTAAACTCCATTGAAATTTAGAATTTTTATTGCGTACTTCCACCTGATGTAGAGATACGTCCTTCCACCACTAAAAAATTGGGTTTTTGCTTGGTATTGCTAGCTATTATTTGGTATTAACGAAGAATATCATCATGTGAAGATCAATACTTAGTTATACCGAGCAATACCGAGCTATACCAAGCAATACAAAAAAATACCTTGTTTTTCCTAGAAAAAACTCGGTATTGCTCGGTATAGCTCGGTATTGCTCGGTATAGCTCGGTATAACTCGGTATTGGTATTCACATGATGATATTCTTCGTTAATATCAAATAATAGCTAGCAATACCGAGCAAAAACCGAATTTTTTAGCGGTGGGAGGACGTATCTCTACATCAGGTGGGAGGACCCAATAAAAATTCTGAAATCTAATAGAATGTTTTCAGCAAACAATGGCATTCAATATAGATAAAGTATGCAAAAAATTCTTCCATTGTTCCATAATACAGAACATTCCTTGCAGCTTTATTGGATCATTAAAAACTCTTTTTTTTGGCCCTCTAGCTGTAGATCTCTTAGGTTTTGTTTGGAATAGTTTTCTTATTATTTTTTAAAATAATTTTTTAATACAAGAATTTTAATTTTTTTATTAGAAAGTTGGTTTAAGAAGCAGTAAGAAAGCTATCTCAAACGAAGTCTTAATTGATGGTCAAAATTTTTAATCAATAGATCAAAATAAATTGCCTTCGGAAAGCTTTATATTGTTTGATGGATACTGTTGAGAAAATGAGCCTTTGTGAGAAATGATAATTACAAAATGAGAAAAATAAATAAGGAGAAGATTATGAAAAAGATAATTTGAGAAATTTATATGATTTGATGAGATTTATCTGTGTCAATAGTCTTAAAGCAAAAAATGTCAAGTAATTAAGAAATAAAAATAAGATTTAAATATTCATAAAAATGCTTTTATTTCTTTTTTTAATCTCATTAGTATTCTCTCTCTTATTTCTCATTTAATTTTGAGCATAATTCCTCCACTAATTACAGTCAATCTAAATAGGAAAAGCTTGTTGCTTCTTATGTTGGACCATCTCATTTGCCCTCCAATCAAGATAGTTATTTTCCTCCAATCACTCCACAAGCCGCCTCTCGGAACTTCGCCTTTACTCTATTTTCTAAGATGATGAGCAATAAATTATAAAATATATTACTTTAATTCATCATAGCAGATATATCTTTCGCTTGGGACAACTTTTTTACAGCTTCTTAAAACAATTTTTGTACTGAAAAACTGCTTTAAGAAGCAATAAGAAAACCGTCCCAAACGAAATCATAATCATCTCTTTTAAGCAATTGGTCTCAATTTCTTTCACACCTTCACTTTTACATTTGATTGAAGAAGCATACTGATTTTTACCTTGAAATAATTAATTTTTTTTTCACTTTTTACTGAGTTTAGATGCAAATAAGAACTTGATTTCACAACCTTACTCAAAATAAATTAAAAAAACTTGCAAAATCAAATCTTATCCAAACTTTAATATCAAAATGATTGACAAAAAAATTAGCCTTCACATCTCCTTAAAAGTCAACAAGAGTGTGCTGAGTGTTTCTTTGTTCTCCTCTTCATTATTGAACAGAAGAATCAATCACTGGTTGAGTCATCATGTCACTATATCTTTCCTTCTTCTTCTTTTATATAAATTTTCTTGTTCAACCTTTCTTCTGATATCTATTGGAGAGATTAGGACTATTGATGTAAGCTTTTGCCTTACTCAGCTTTCCTGGCCTTGTTCAGGAAAAAATTATAGTCCAGGTTCAAAGGCTTCTCCTCCAACCTTTAGGAATTTCATGTGTCCCTTACTGTACACAACCAGAAGCTTTTTGATCTCTTTAGGTCTGAGAGAGAAAAAAGAACAGTTAGCACTTCATCAGAAAGGGAAAGGAGTGGCCAAAGCAGTTTTTAGCTGCTTTAGATGAAAAAGGACAAAGTCATCATCATGTGAACAAGAGCCAAAGACATTTGGCATCATCATATAGTTGAGGATAATGCATGAGTCCATTTGTCTCTTATTTGTGGCAAACATTTGGAGGATTCCTCACCACTTCAATTCATATCATTTTTTTTTTTTTTTAGTAGGCGAACATAGAGAAATATGACATGAGAACCTATGTGAGAATGAAAATGATATAGGGAAACATTGTGGAAAATGTTTTGCTAGGACAATTGTCTCTATACAAAATATCAAAATATTTATTTTCACCCGTTACTTATAGAGATCTGAGGGTTATAGAAAAGGCTGCATAAAAAAAGAGTAAAAAATACAATAATTAATGACCCATGGTACATACTACCCTGGATACATGTCATGCTATGACTAACATGGTGAATGGCTGCATCTCTTATTTTTACACCTTTGCCTTGGGGTAAGTTTCCTTGTATTGAGTGCATACTAGTCATGAGCAAGTTTGGGCGAGTCTATCAATGAGGGTCAAACAAAGAGAGCTATGACTGAGGAGCACTTTGAAGTCCTTGTCGAGGTTTTCATGGAGCTCCAGATTGTTGCGATGTGGGAAGCAAGAATGGCCAAGTAGCTGGAGTAGTAGGCTCTATGGTTGGCTAACTATGAAGATACGAGGTAGAACCCTCTTAAAAAGATTATTTCCTATAATTTGGATGATGAGTGACCAAGTTCCACCCTAGATTACGACGAGTGATTTTGATGCATGCTTCTCACTAGGGGGCAAATACAAAGCTAAGTGGTCTGTGCGTACCCCAAGGTTTCATGTGAGAGGTGGCTCCTCTCTAACTATCCCACCAAATTACGTATTGATGAGTTCACTTTTTAGGACGTGTCAATTACTTATTAAACACATGAAAAAGACATACATGAGTATGCAATGTGTACTTCAACGTAAATATAAATTAAATAAAATGCATTTTAATTTCTTGAATTTGATTGGTCGATTGTATAATAAATTCACGAAGTTCATTGTTTGTATTTGATTGCACTAAGCTTAATTTCAGAGTATCAGCAAACTAACAATGATGACTATCGGACGATGGAGATAGTTGCTAAAAAATATATACAAGTATTATTATTATTACTATTTTTTTTCTTAATTTATCAATTATGATATACACATGGGCTCCATTGGTGACAACAATCAGGATGAAGGCTACATATCCTTTTCCTTTTATTTTGGAATTGTCATGAGAAGTCTTCATCACACACTAAAATCTATACAATTCCAACCAGTGTTAGGTGTAGAGAATATCTATTTCTTGTCATGGCCAAAATCCTTAATGGCTTTGCTATGGAGCCATAAAAGACAGGCTTTGTAACAAAAATTAGGGAGGAAAAAGCCATGGCCACATGCTATGATTCTCCTTAACATAATGGATTTAATAATTAATTTGATTAGTTCTTTATATAAATTTGATTGTATGTGTTTTAATTTATTTGATAATGTCAATCCAAATTATTAACATAATTCAAGTTGGATGTATCATTTAATTTATTTTACTATATTTTAAAAAATAGCTTTTAGAGTGACGGTGAAATAGATGGGGCTATTATTAGCAGAGTTCAAGTTGGATAGTTCAAGTGGAAGACTGGATCGGGTTTGTTGTGTGATAGAAAAGCCTAAGAGAAAATTCTAAAAAATGGTGGCGAGACCTATAATACTTTATTATAATGTAGAATGTTGGTCATTAAAAGAGAAGCATAATATTAAATTAAGTGTTGAAGAGAAGAGTGAGTTTACTCTTAGAGACATGATACGAAATTAGCATATACATGAAAAGATTGGAGTAGCTCCAGTGGAAGATAAGAATAGAGAGAGTCACCTTAGATGATTGGTCACATCACCTTCTGATGGAACTTTTATTAGGTCAGGACACCTGACGTCAATAAAATGTCGTCACGTGCTCTTACTCTTTACCGCGTGGCCCGACAACCTGACCCGGATCGGAACCCGGTATTGCTATGTTCGTGTATTGCTCAGTATTGTTAGGTATTGTTCGGTATTGCTTGGCAATAACGAGAAATATCACTCTTTCAAGACCAATACCGAGCAATACCTACCAATACCGAGCAATACCTAGCAAAAAATGAGGTATTGCTCCATATTGGTCTTGACATAATGGTATTTATGGTTACCGAGCAATACCTAGCAATACCCTGGTCTGCACAAATCAGCTAATAAATAGCAATATTGAGTTCCGGTCCGGGCCGGGTCGTCGGACCGCGCGTTAAAGAGTAAGAGCACGTGACGACATTTTATTAGCATCCGGATGTAGAGTTACGACAGGTGTCCTGACCTAATAAAAGTTCCTTCTGATGACTAAATTTTAGAGTAGATGTATTAGATTTGGCTTATGATAAGAAAGGTAGAGGTAGATCTAAAAAAATTTATACAAAAAATATTAAAAATTACCTTTTTTTATTAGATTTAAATGAGAATTTGACTCTTACAAAACACAATTAAAAAAAATAGTATTTCATTAAAATGTTAAAACTGAATCAGTATTATTAATTTAAATCCTAATCCAAGCAAGCCTTACCACAATTGAATTACTCTCTCTCTCTCTCTCTCTCTCTCTCTCTCTCTCTCTCTCTCTCAAGCAACTTATGATTCTTATTAAAGAAAACACACGTAACAAATACAGTGAACAAAAATGGTAACCGAACAACTTTCTGAAAAATAACCTACGTTCGTTTGTTGTCACATACAAACAATACATTGATATATATAACAAAAAAAACAAAGAGAAGTAAAAAATAGTATCATAGATGGTTTCATTCATTCAGTCTCACTTATTCCTCTTACAGTCTATTAATTGCTCTCTTTTTACTCAACTAATTTATTGCATTTTTATAATGCATAAAAATGCTATTTACATTATGCTTCAAAATTCTATATTCGTTATGATATTTTTCGACTCTTAGAATTTTACTATACACAGATATTTCCTTGATTAATCTTCTAAGTACTCTATCTTATTATATTTCACTTTACTTTCCCTGATGCACAAATCAAACCATCCTTTCACAGGAACTGCAGATGAAGGTTCAGTTCATATCCATCATGTCAGGTTATCGTCATCATCTCCAGATTCTTATCGATCAGTTTTTTTTTTTTTTATTATTATAAATTTAAACACATCTATGATCTTTATAATGAGCATGCCACTCTTAGCCTGCAACTTAAAATTAAAGCATTAATTACATTAATTACAAGTTAATCTTCCTATTAATAGAAAAAGTCTGAGATACCATCCGCCTAGCTCGGTGTTATCACTTGTCAGATTCATTCGGCGAGAGCAGCTATTCTAAACTCAGTTAATCCAACTTATTAACATAAATCACACATTAATCACATCTTAATTGCCACGCTAATTTAGATATCACATTCAATACAGATAGCCCAACTCCATCATGTACTTGTAGTAGTAACTGTCCCCATACGCCGCCGCCGCATACATTCCATCCCCCTCATCCATGCCAAACTCCCCCAAATGCGTCGCCGTCGTCATCGAAGAACTCGGACTCCCGGCGACGGCCACCTCGCCGGTTCCTCCTCCTACTCCGCCGCCGCCGCCGCCTCCTGAGGTTAATCTCTTGATCTCCTCCTCTGATTGAACCAGCTTGTCCTTAAGCATCAAGACCTGTCATTATTCAATTATAATTCATTTAAAATTTATTCACTCACTCTTTAAAATACATATAATATTTTTTTTAAAATAAAAATAATTTCCAATTATTTCATTTTATTTATTTTTCTTCTTTAACATGGCTTAAATTAGATTTGATTATTATCAAACGATTGTTGATAACTTTCAATTTAGTCGTAATTTGACGATACAGATCAATTAATAATTAGAACATCCAAAATAATAATAATAAAATTCAGAAACAAGGTAGCCGAGGTTCAAATCCTCAAAACAACTTTGAAAGTCTTTATCAGTATGGCAACCCGGGATTAAACCGGAGTAAATGAAAGATCTACCATGGTTAGCTAGGGTTTTAGATTGAGGGACTGGGAAAAAACTGACCTCGTTCTCGAGCCGGCATTTCTCGATTAAGACGGAGTCGTGCGATGATCTGAGACGAACGTACTCATCCTCGAGTTGCTTGCTCTTCCAGCGAGCTCGTCTGTTCTGGAACCAGACGGCGACCTGCTTAGGATCGAGGCCGAGCTCAATGGCGAGATGAGCTTTCCGGCCGGATTCCAGCTTGCGCTCCTTACCGAAGTTCATCTCCAGAAACCTCACTTGATCATCACTGAGCCGCCGCTTCTTTCCCTCGCAGACAATATCCATCTCTTCATCGCCGACAATCTTCGCCTTCTTCCTCCGCCTCCGCGCCTTCGGCTCACCTGCATCCCGAAACAAAATTAGCCGGCGATTTTCGTGTAGAGAAGACAGAAACAGATAGATAGAGAGAGAAAACCTTGGGCCATTTGGGAGTAGAGTTCGGATGAGACCATGGATGAGATCAGAGACTTCTCTTCTTCCATTGAATTGACGGCGATTGAGACGGCGATGAATTCGTTCTCTCTCTCTCTCTCTCACTGTGGAGAGAGAAAGAAATTCGCTTCTGGTTTCTGGTGCGGGGTGGTGGCCCTATGGTGACAGCGGGTTGGAAGGCTCGAGACGTATTTATAGTGTGTGAAATCGTTAAATTAGTCATGACCATAGAGGAAATTACATACATGCCACTTCAATTAGGTACTTTTGCGGAGGAACTACCAAATTGCCCCCAGTGTTATTTTAATTTACCACTATGGTACGCAGAACTCATAGTCTTGACTACGACAACTTTTCACAACTTCCAAACAAATAATGCCAATTTCCCTAAATTTAAGAATTGACCACTATATTTTACATATTATATTTCTTTTATTTTTTCCTTCTCACTATATTTGATTGAACAATATTATTTAATTAATATACTAACCAAAAAAACATATGGGTAAATATGTAATTTTTAGATCTCATAATGGTAAATATTTTGTGAATTAATTGAGTATAATTTGAATTTATTTTGGGAGATTTACATGCATACCTCTTAAAAATTTGTATTAGGATATTATGATCAACTAAAATTTGGACAAAATGAGGCTCAAAGCTCTTAGATTTGCTTTGAGATTCGTGTAATATTGATACATATTGTACTACTCTTAAAGTATATTGGAGGGGAGGTTTTTTTTCCTATTAAACATAAATAATGATCTCAGCCCATATATTTGAGAGCTAATTGAGCAAAAAATAAATAGATTAAATGAAAAAAAATGGGACATAATATAAAATTTGATCATAATGAGTCTTAAAATTTGTACATTTATTGAGATAAAGATAATTAGGGGGTGTCAATTATTGACCCAACCCGACAACCCGACCCGAACCTGACCCGAAAAATTCAGGTTTGGGTTGACCCTTTTAATAAACGGGTCGAGTTCGAGTCTCAATTTTCAACCCATTTAAAAAACATGTCGGGTCTCGGTAAACCTGATAACTCGAAATTGACCAGAGTTGACCTGTATACGCCTCTGCCCATTTCATTTTTCCCGCGTGGGAGGGATTCGAGGGACGTCGGCGTCACGTCGCGTCGTTGCAAAGCCAGCCATCCGCGTCAGGCCTACGACGTCAATCTTGCACGCCTACGCGGGAGTTCGCCGGAGCGCGGGAGCACACCTACACAGGAGTCGCCGGAGCACGGGAGTTCGCCGGAGTACGGGAGCAGTCGTACGCGGCTACGCCTGATCCCAGGTCGCGCTCGCGAGGACCGCGTGGTCGACCAGAGCGCGGGAGCACGCCTACACGCCTACGCGGCTACGCCTGAGCCCAGGTTCGCGAGTCGTGTTCTGGTTAAATCTCTGATCCATTTAACTAAACGAGTCGGATTGGGGTCAACTTGTTTATAGTCGGGTCAACACGGGTCTGATCTGAATCCGACCAGTTGACCCGAATTGACACCCCTAAAGATAATGCACAAAAATCAGTCAAAATTAGATTACAAAAATACTAAAATAAATTGAATAAATTTAAGACCCATAATACCAAAATTTTCATAAGAATATTCAATTTTTCGGTAATTCGTTCTATTTTTTTAATTTTAATTTACTTTCTTCAAGACTTTAATATTATATTTTCCAATAATTAATGCTCCTCTTTCTGATTATTATTTTTAATTAGTTTGCTTATCAGTCGTAACAATACGATAAGAAGAGGTACCTATCCCGATAGATTGTTAACATGAATATAATAAACAGCCTAAGCCCTTCAATTCCGGGGAAAAAATTAAAAAATAATAAATAATATAAAATAATATAAAATACTGAAGTAGGTGTATGCATACCATGTTATGCTATACTTCCATCTGCCAATATAATATTTATAAATAAATTTTTTTATAAAATATTATATTTATTATTATTCTTATTTTTTCTTAGCATATTCAGTTTTTTTAGTACTTTTTAAAGCATTTTTTTAGAAATTTTTTTTTAACTAGCAAATTTGAATTAAAATTTGCTTTAGAAAACAGCAAGAAAGCTGTCCCAAACGAAGCCTAAGAGGCAATTTCTTTATTGGAGGTAGGAGTGTCGATGAATGACTTGACTAGTCAACTTGAGCCAGACTTGACCTGAAAATTTGGGCTCTCATTGACCTGTTTAATAAATGGGTTGAATTCGGGTTTGGAATTCTGACCAATTTATTAAATAGGTGGATCACCCTGACAATTTTAACCCGAAAGTGACTCATTTAATTTTTTTCTTTTAATTTTGTATTTCTTAGTATGACATTCTTGTTTTAATTTTATATCAATTAATTTAAATTTCAAGATAAACAAGTTATTAAAATATGAATTATTTTAATCAAAATATGTTATTATGATGGGTTTAGGTCATTCGGTTTGCTGTCAAGTTAGGTTTGAGTCCACCTTTTTTAGCCTTTTATTAAAAGGGTTGATCAGATTTGGGTTGAGTCAATTTTGTGCTGGACCCAAAATTGAGCCATTAAGCCATTTTTTAACACCTCCTAATCTGAGGGACAATATTGTTTTTTTATGAAATTGTTGATTAGCAAAAAAAATATAAAATTTTACAAAGTAGTAGAAGTTATAATTTTTAAATGTATTGGAAAATAATAATTAATTTAAATACTAGAAAAGTTATTCTTACAAAAAATATAGAAAAATGACTTAATTATTTTTTCTAATATTTATATAGAAGAAAAATATATTTCATAATTATTTTTATGATAAATAATTTAAATTAATGTTTAATTTTTATTGATTAAAATGGGTGTAAATAGCATTTATCTTTCATTATTGAACAATGTGACAATTTTATAATCGAATTAATTTGATTAATGAATAAGGTATTTCAAAATTTTATTAAATTTTTTGCTAAGATATATAAATCGTCATAAATGTCATTACATACACAAAAGTACACAACAATTTTATATGAACAAGTTTTTATTGAAAAAAAAAACTATATT